TTTATCTCACACTGTTCTTTATATTAATATAACTAATGATGTCTGGTGTGGTTTGATTCGTTTTATGTGAAGACTTGGAGATTATTTCGGTAATGGAACATTTTTAAACTCTGTAAGCGCTTTCGGCTACGTACGGTGGAGCCCAACATTTTTCCGAACTTCAATGCAAAAGATCGCTAAGAGGTTCTATCAAAAAATCTCATCCGTTGCACGTATTTATATATTTGGTTTGTCTTGAGCGTCCATTATTTTACTGGTATATTCGAATTATGTCAAAATTAAAAAAGACACAATGATTTGTTTTCACAATTACTGAAGAGGTTGGAATGAAAACATTTTTTTTAAATTTAAAAGTGTCTGAATATACTATTATGTAATGGTTTTGTGTTATGTAAAACGTTAAATTATTTCCTGTTCCTGCAATATTGTAGTTTTATTTTCTGTGTTAATTTTTGTTATTTATAAATAGTTTTCTTGTGCTGTTCTGTTTTGCAGGTAATTAAAATATAATAATAAAAATGCTACAACGTATGCGTTCAGATTATTTTATTGTCTAAAATATCTATTAACATTTTCTGACCGTAAAGCCGCAGATGCATAAATAATCCTGTCAACTTTCTCAGGAGTATAACATAGTTTGCGACCCCCATTATGCATCCAAATTGAATTTTAAAAACATCAATGCATCTTTCCACAGTACTTCGGGTGTGTCACAAGTCATGACCCAAGGTTGTACTGCATATCCTGAATCCGCTAACAAAAAGGTTGTAGAGCTTTCCTGCAGGATATTGAGTTTCCAATCACCATAGCACGGCATATAAATGCGTCAGTTATCCGTCACGTCCACTAATTATGTGCATGTTTTTCGAACATGCACATAGCATAGCACACAGCACATAGCATAGCAGAACATAGTGACATAGCATTGTCATCACACCTCATTTTCATGCGGAGTGATGATCGCTATATGAGTCCTATCTATACAGATAATAATTCTTGGGAAACCAACTTTTTCCATAAAAGCTCTTTTAATTTGAGCATTTCCTTGTTCAGTTTTGAGAAAACAGATCTAATGATTATACAGTTGTTGACAGTTTGGAGAAATCAAATCCAATGATTAGACAGTTGTAGGGCGTTCTTGTTTGCTTTGGAATTCTTGAATTTCTATTACTATTTTCCATGTGTGGGAGCAATTCGTTAAATGAATTATTTAGATGAAAGAATTCCATTTTCAATTTTCAAGATTTCAGAATACAAACATAACAAATATCTACCTGTAATGCGATTATTCTGTTCTATATTTTATGCTAGTTTTAATTAAATTAAATTAAATTAAATGTGCAAAAATGAAGTAACAAACATTAGTAAACCAAAATAAAAAAACGATTTTTCGTTAGGTTGGAATTTTCTCCATCATTGTTTCTATGTTTTTAAGACATGGAGTATAATTATACGTGCCCGAGCGACGAAACGAATCTTGGCCAATGATAGCCGAGAAGTCTAGGGAAATGCTTAGGGAGTAACCTCGGAATGTAACGACGGTTTCCCTTCGCATCCGCATCTTTTTCGCTTAGGAATATGATACAAGTTACAGATTCTCAGTCCTGTTGCCTTATTAAAACTAAAGAAAAAATTGGTTGGACATAAAGCGGCACCAAATATTGCTGCATTAGGATTTATTATTCTACAGCCACATAAATACCTCTCAGTGATTCCTCGTATGCAAAAACGCGAGGTGCTTCAACGACGTAACAAATTTAAAGCCCCTCGTATAGTCCGGTAAAAGAACCGCGATTGAGATTCACGGACCGCAGTCACAAACTGTTTGATCTAACATTAAAAATACGAAAACGGAGAGTGACCTTTCATCCTATCATGGCAATGTGAACTTGACGGGAACTTTTAAAGAATAGAATTTATTGGAAATTCTTGGCGCCTAGTCTTTGGGGTTTATGGCTCCGGTGAAATTCCTGACCCGCGTGTATATGGGGTTGATAAGGAGCTCTGAACACCGTCCGACCGCACATGCTCACCCCAAGGATATTTCGACTCAAATATGGGTCGGCGGAAAGTGGTGTCAAACAGTGGATCGCTGGTTTATTATATGAGGTAATTCACCTGACCTATTGAAAGTTCTGGATATCCGAAAAACATCTCATTCAACTTGTTGAATTTATTTCCGTTATTTTTATTAGGTTAAATTTTTACATTGAACATTCCTCCTTCCCACTTCTCTCCAAGAAAGCAAACATAATACCTCTTCCCAAGATACAAAATGCATTCTTCTAAAATTCGATCCATTTTAGTATTAGCGAAAGTTATGGAAAAGGTAATAGAAGAACCAATTCTTATTTAAATGAATACCATCGAACTTTTCCGCCCAAACCAATCCGGATTTCTGTGATTGCTGAACAGCTCTTTCTAAAATTACAGGTGACATCCTTCACTCCCTTGACAACGATCAGAACTGTGTTGTTGGGCTTAACTAAAGCCTACACACAGCTACACACGATCGGGCAGACCTCTCAGTTCGAACTGAACAGTCCGCCTAAAGGCCAGTCGCCTGAACGTGTATATGGTCCGGTCGAACTGTCAGTTAAGACTGTTCAGGCGGACGTCCTTTTTTCAATCAATCTTTATACCATTCCGTACGATTTTTTTTCTTTTTACCCAAAGCAACTACTAAGCCGAGAAGTGCTAACGTGTCGTAGTCAGTAGAGGCCATGATGATGATCGAGACTGGTATTTCATATTCGCCTGAACGGAGGGTGGTCAGTCCATCAGGCGACTGGTCTTCAGGCGGAATGTTCACTTCAAACTGACTGGCCTACCGGATCGTGTGTACCCGGCTTAAGGCATTGATGATGAATCATTTATTCCTGAAGACAGCCGACAAACTTTTAAATGAGGACCTTGAAACTCCTGGAGTAGCAATTTAAAATGAACTGTTTAAAATCGGTTTAATATTACTGAAAACATTCAACATAGGTGATACTGATCTACCTTTTTTTTTATAAAATCCTTTCCGTACACTATTGTTGCGAGCGTAATTTTATTTCAAATGGTGAAATTATCGACACCACCTAGAAAAGGCATTAAAGTAAAGTTATTTCAACCGCAGGTTTGGAAATAAAAATGTTTAGTTAAAACTGACTGTTTTTCTTAAATTTTTGTTCTATACATTTCTTTATTTCTGGAACACCTTACATATTTCGATATTTTCAGAATCCTTGCCAAAAACAAAGGTAACTTTTATAGAATCTACTTATTTGAATTTTGTGTAGTTCAGACAGAAATTCAGATTATATATTTTTTTATGTAAAATTATGTTCTTAGTAACTATGGTCTTCCACGACTGTCAGTAATGACTACATAATCAAATTTTATGCACATTTTTAGAAGGCTTCCTTCTATCGATCTGCGACGACTAGGTATTTTAAAGTTATACAGGGTGTCTTTACGGACATTTTTTTCATATAGAGGTTGTTTATACAACGTGCATTGTTCAAAATAGTGAACATGTTAAAAAGCTTCTGTAGATTTTCTATTTTGATTTGCATTAATTGTTACAGTTACTGTTGTTTGTTGCTTTTAGTTATTACTGCCTACAAAAAAGGTAATACAGAGATTTATAGATTTAGGAAATTAAAACGTCATCATTTTTTTCATCATCATCATTTTCGTCAACGATGTAAAATAATATGTAAAATTATGATAGAGTTTAAAAATTGAAAACAATTAACAGTAATAACTAAAAGCAACAAACAACAGTAGCTGTAACAATTAATGTAAAACAAAATAGAAAATCTACAGTATTTATATTATTTATGTTATTTAGTTGAACTACAGCTTCTCTAATACACCTTTGTACTACATAAAATATAAAATATAATAAAAATAAGTCATTACAAAATTCTTTGAAATACTTAGGTGTAAGTATTTTTCGCCAGCGAGTTTATTACTAAAAATGTTGAAAACCATTAGATTTATATATATATATATATATATATATATATATATATATATATATATATATATATATATATATATATATATATATATATATATATATATATATATATATATATATATATATATATATACCAAATTATAGATATTTTGATCCGCTTTGAGAAAAAAATATGAAAAACAGAGGCTTCTCATTAAAAAAAATGAATACTGCCAGTTGAGATTTAAAAAAAAATTCTTTTAATTTGTCACCTTTAAAATATATAGTCATCGCAGATGATTAGAAGGAAGTCTTCTAAAAATTTGAACATGTAGTCATTATTGCTTTCGTGGAAGACGATAATTACTACTAACTTTGCATAAAAAATATATAACCTCAATTTCTGTCTGAACTACCCAAAATGCGAATAAGTAGTTTATATAAAGATATTTTAAAACTAATGTCGGTTCAGCACTTATCGGACACCCTGTATGTTTAAAATATAAATAAAATATAAATAATTTTAAAATTTAATTTAAACCATAAAACTTTTGTATAAACTTTTTGTTTCTAAAAGAAATAAAAGGTAAAGCCTCTAATAAAGAGCCCACTCTGTACGTATTATTTGCGAAAACGATAACATAGGAAAACCATGCTAGAGGAGATCAAGAAACCAATCCTATGCCGGACATAATAGTATATGTGCGTGGAAGACAAATGAGGGGAAAAAATGCCGATAAAATGGAGGAAAGAGAGAGTTAGGAAGGACACAAATTTATCCAGCACTTTTTAAAAGGCGTAAACTAAATGGCTAAGGTTTCAATAGACCTCTGTGTGGATATTAAGTTTATAGCAAGCCGGTATAAAGACAAGCCCCCTTACTAGTCGTCTTTTCCAATTAGAAAATTTCCCTCACTTTTCCAACGCACCGTTGCCAGCCTTTTCTTAGGTTTAATAAAATTTGTTCATGAATTTTTCCAATAGAATATACTTTTCACGTCTTCTAGAATATTAAAAGATAATATTTGAGATGGTTATTTTTCCATTCCAGGAGGACGAACCTATAAGACTTAAGATGCTGCTGAGAGACATATCCCATTGAGAATTCTGGCTTCAAAAATTTTGCGGTAAGTTTTGTTCGCTGTCTCGCGAAATGTATCCAGTTATTACCCTGCATATGTGAAATAGAATAGAATAGAATTAAAATGAACTTTATTAAGTCCGAAATAACAAAACATTGATACAGTAATACAGAGAAGTATCTAATAACTGTTATATTACAGACAAATCTAATAATGAAAGTACACAAAATATTAAAGCTCATTATAGCATATTATGACTAAATAGCCCCAAGTAGTCATTAGTGTTATAAAAGACATTCTAAATAAAAAAGTCTTTCATTTTTATTTGAAATTGCTTAAATGGTCGGTTTTTAAGATTTGCCAGACGGACATAAAATTTCACATTAATCTTATTAGATTGCGAGGATGAAGTAACTAAGTCGTACCTATTAGTAGTTTCCCGATATACATTTTCACCTATAAATAAAACAGATTGGCATATGTATATAGAAGGCAGTGTCATAATATGTAAGCGAGTAAAATTGGTCTTCAGTGTGCAAATGGATCGGCTCCGGACATCACCCATCCTTGTTTTGCCATCGGAAGGCTTTTCTATCGATAACAAATCCCAGACACATTAATGTTACTTTGATTTAGATAGTCTACTTTACCACGGGGGAAAATAAGTTTTTGGCTTTTTAGTTCATTAAGTACTAAATTGTTTGCAGAAAACCATTGTTGCAGAATATTTCTAACTGCAGTACTATTCTCAGTAAGCATTCGATGGTGTTTAGCAAGTGACAAAATGGCAGTATCGTCCGCGAACAGAGTAATGTTAGCACTGGAGACTGACAGCGGCAAATCGTTTATATAAATGATAAATAGCAGCGGTCCAAGAACCGCGCCCCGAGGAACGCTTCACAAGTAGGACGCTATCACTCGACTCACCTCCATACTCACCGTACTGAAACTTGTTATCGAAATATGATTAGATTAATTTTAAAGGAATACCTCTAATGTCATGAAATTAAAATTTATTTAAGAATACACGGTGGGTCACACAGATCATATAAGAGTGCCATCGAAATGTCACCATTATCGAATCCTTGAACCATCCTGCCTACAAAATGAATAAGCGTATCTGTAGTGCGATTCGCTTTGAAATTTGTTCGCTTCAAAGGTCTTTTCCATAACTTTCCCAAAAATGGGCCTGAAATTATTTGGAATATCTGCATCTTATTTTTTAGGCACGGGAATTACCTTAGAGATTTTCAAATCTGAAGGAAATTCTCCTATCGAAAGTACCCAGGACCTAAAATATACTTTATGGTGTGCTTTAGTATTTTTCAATTTAAACCGAAGCAGTCAGTGGAACCTGAATCACTTATAACGTCGTAGAATTCACCTTAGAGGCCCTAGAGTCAAAAATAAAGATTATGTCCTTTACTACATCGTGAAGAACATATTGAATTCATCTGGCATGATTGATTTGGGTGCAACCCTTGAAGATCGATTACTTTTAACTAAAGCCCAAGAGTTTTTCCTCATGTTGATGGATCTAGATATAAAGCCGGCAAATGCCTTGGGATACAACTCTGAGATTTTTTGACGCCTGCCAGCTAAAGCGTAATTTAAATAGTTCTATTTTACGTTCCTGTGATACCATGGTGGTGCTTATGCTCACGCATGGGGCAGTGGCATAGTGGCCGGGGACCAAAAGAGCAGGAGCAAGGCTAGTTCTTGACAAACTGCAGAGATTGGCTTGCCTCTGTATACCGGGCGCCATGAGGACGGCGCCCACGAGGGCCCTAGAGGCTCTGGAGCGTACTGCGAGACGACGGAATCGAGCTTGTCGGTCTCTCTGGGTCAGTACTGCATTTTGTTTCAGGCGGAAATTTTCGCTTCGGCTCAACCACGAAAGCAGGAGGGTCTTCTTCTGCTCGGATAGTAGGGCTGCACTTATGGCACTGAAGTCAGTGCGTACGCGCTCCTTGTTGATAAAGGAGTGCAAAGGGGTACTGAGGAGACTGGCTGAGGAGAGGCAGGTCACGTTGGTCTGGGTCCCGGGTCACACCGGTATCTAGAGCAATGAGGCAGCGAACGTCTTAGCCAGGAAGGGCTCCTCGCATAGGCATATGGGACCAGAGTCCCGCTTGGGGATCGCCCCGTGTGTGAGTCGGGGAGCTCTCGAAGCCTAGGCAAGAGGCCGCGGTGGGCTGGAGAATTGCTCCGGGAATAAGGCAGGCGAGGCTTATGATGGATGGGCGCGCCCTCCCTCGGACCAGGGAGCTGCTTAGACTGACCAGAAGGGAGTGGTAAAGCACTAACTGCTAGGGATTGGAGACGACCCGGAGTGCAGGTGGTGCATGGTGGTGTGTGGAGGAGACCCCGTATCATCTGCTCACCGGGTGCCCTGCTTTGACATGGGCAAGATTGGGAGTCTTCGGAACGGCCCTGATCGATCCGGACTGCACGGTATTGGGCTAAAGGAGTTGCTGACCTTCTATAGAAGGGGCGGCATTCTAGACGCCCTCTAGAGCGGTCTGGGGGCACAACTGGCTGATCTGGTGGCCTAAGTGCTTGGACGCACTCGAGGGCGCCCCCCTTTAATATCAATACCAATACCAATTTACGTTCCTGTTACTAATTAGACCCTCTCCTCAAGAAGATTCACGAGCGAAATTCTAATTGCGGCTTCCGAACATGCAGCATGAAAGATTTCCCTAGACGAGCGGTCAAATCACCTTCTTAAGTTTTTTACCCATGAATTTTGGGGGTTTCTACTCCTTTTTTCCCGCACGTTCTCTCTATTGTGAGCCGAAGTAATTTGTACTTCTCGCCTCTTACCACATGATCAAATATAAAATGCTGTTCAATAACTTTTTTGTTTATGCATGCATTGAAGTAGCTCCTTATTCGTGATCCGTTGCACCGATAAAATGCGACAACTTCGTCTGTAACGGTACGATGGAATAACAATGGAAAGCCACACACTCTTTTCTCTGTCTGAGGATCTAGGTCCTAGCTGTCGCACCCATAAATCTAGATAGAGAACACCTTACGCCTTATCATTGGAGTTCTATGCTCCATGGTGAGATCTTTTTTGTAAAATTCTTTTTAACACTTATAAAGGGTTTCCTCACTTGTTCAATTCTCGAAGGAACTTCTTTTTCAATTCGCACAAACAGTTGATATTAAATATATTTCACTTGCTATATTGTTTGTCCCTTGACGTGCAACTGTGCATTTACTGATGGTTATGATTGAGTACATAATCTTTTGTATCTTGTAGATCTTACAAATTGTCTGCAAATTCGGCTCCGCTAATTTTTTAGCTTGCGTCTTAGATATAATCTTCGCAAAATATGCGAGGAATTTCTAAAAAAAAAATAATTTTAGTGGCGCAGTGACGTTATATTTCTTAAGAACTTTTCAAATATGGTCAGTTATTTTTTAAATGTAAGAAAGGACAATAGTGGCAAATGTAGAGTTGCTTTCGACGTTGTCGTGAAGTGTATGTGGAACTTATTAGTTTTGGTTAGTTTTGGTTAGTTTTGGTTAGAGAAAAGACCAGATGCAAGGTGTTTTAATTCTGAGTTCAGTGACTCAAGCTGAGATAGTTTTACGCCTCTCTCTGAGTTAATAGCCTATGATTTTTGAGTCGAATGGTGATTTGACAATGCATGAAGGTATCGGTTTGTGTGCGTAGATTTTCTATTGGTAAGAACATCTAAGAATGGGAGATTATTATTAGTTTCTAATTGAATGGTAGAACGTACGTTAGGATGTATAGAGTTTCCATAGTGTCATCAACATAGCGTTTCCATAATTTTGGTTTTACATGGAAGGTGTCCACTGATTTCTTCTCAAAGGCGCATAAATATATTCGCTATGACTGGTAGAGAACCCATATATGTTTCCGACATAGTGTTTGCTAGTTGTAAAAAGTTTGATGATTTCACTGGTGTTGACGTTAGTTTTTTAAATTATATATATACAGTGGGGTTCCTACAGCTTCTGCGGCATCCCACATTTCGACCGCCATTTATCTTTATTCCCCCACTCATCTTCTTTAATTGCTCTGTCCTTCATTATATTCCTTATACCATCGTTCCATAGGTCTTTTTTCCTTCTATTTTTGGGGGTATATTTTAGTGCTCTTTTTGGCCATCTCTCATCGTTCATTCTCTGCCTCGTGCCCATTCCATATAAGTTGTCTAGTTTCTATTCGGTCAGTGCTGGTATGTATTCTCCCTGTTCTTCTTCGTATTTCTTCATTCATGACGTATTATACTCCCGACACTTGGCATGCTCTTCTCAAGAAATCCATTTCTACTGTGTCTATAACTTTCTTGTCGTTCTTCGTCATTTGCCAGCATTCTGCGCCGTACGTTAAGATGGGTTCCACAACTGCTTCATATATTCTAATTTTCGTACCTATTTTAATACCGTTGGACCACAACAAGGAATTAAGCGCTTGAGTTGCTCTTCTTCCCTGCTGAGCTCTATTTTGAATGTCTGTTTATGAATTACCTTCTTCCGTTATGACGCTTCCCAAGTACTTATAATTTGTAGCTATTTTTATTTTTCTCATATATAGTTCAGGATCTTCATCTTCGTGTTTTCCCCTTACTTTCATATATTCAATCTTCTGCATGTTCATATTCAGTCCCCAATTCTCATAGTGTTCTTTCAGTTTTCTCAGCATGTAATCTGCGTCGTCTAATCACTTGATCGTCTGCAAAAAAGAGGCTCGTCAATAATTGTTCATCTAACTCTACCCCCATACTTGCTATTTTTTTCCTCCACTCTCTTAGGGATTCCTGAATATATATTTTGAATAGAGTAGGGGACATGTTACAGCCTTGTTTTAATCCTTTGTTCACTGAAAAATGGTTCGTACCGTCTTGATTACACTCGTCGCATCTTCGAGGTGGCTGTCACATATACATTGTTGAGTCCGGTTGTCATTAAAATTTCAAACATTTTCTTCAAGGTTACCGTGTCCTATGCTTTTTCAAGAACTGTAAATACTAAATGGGTAGTTAAGTTGTGGGTTCCATGTT